CTATTTTCAATAGAAATTTTAATACATTTAATCGGAATAAAGTTTCCTGGATTCACAATAACCTCTCTCATCTTTCAGTAGACACTTTCTTCAGTACCCAGCATTCTTCAATATCTTTACCTACCTCCAGACTTCAACCTTGTTCCACATGCTTTGTATTCAGATCCATCTTTCTACTGCACCATAAGCATCATTAAGACTTTGAGACAATGAGAATCAAATGTACCCAATTCCATGAGTAATAACTAGCAAATGCCAGCCCAATACCAGTATTAAATAGTGAGTGTCTGCTCACATACTCAACCTACAGGTTTAGGATCCTAATCTGAAGATAAGATGGAATGCTCATAAATAGTATATTATCAATACTGGCTACCGATTACCATAAAAGATCAAAAACTTTAACAAAAAATACCATCAATTGGTGAAAAAGCACATAATATCTCTACAGTAGTATCTATTTCTACTTTTTTGTTGCTGTTGTTTGGGTTTTTTTCCCCTGTTGTTTGCGTTTTGAGACAGGATCTCATACCATAGCCCAGACTAGCCTTAAACTCAAGGTACCCCTACCCCTCTGTCTCCTGAAGGCTGAGGTGATTAGCCTGCTCCACCCTAGCAGGCTAATTTTCACTTTTTGACCCCAAGGGAATCTGCTTCCTCCAACATCATGTGCCTTGTATATAAAAAGAATTATGTTTCAAAACATGTTGTCAGGAGTTCTTTCCTTAGATGTTCATTCAAGGAAAAAATAAGACAAGCTTTGGACAGACGTCTTTCTCATTTTTTTTTTTTCATCATAAAACTACTCAAATACTATGACATCACAAAACTATACAAATGTGTAACAAAGTTTGAGAGAAATGGCTAAAGAATATTTAAGCCACTAATTCAGCTTAACAATTAATGACTATAAGGTACCAGTAATTGTTAGAAACCTCGAAAATGAATTTGATTTTTATATAAAAAGGACAAAATATATCTGACTTATAGATATACTTGTATGGATATTCTATTTTAGGTAATATGGAATATATGAATATATGGTGTAAGTGGTGGATCTAGAGTTGGATAACCTAGATTCAAATAATTGTTCAATTATCCCATCTTACAGTCCACAAGCCAAGTGCTTCGGTGTCTACAAAGTAAGATAACAGTTCTGTTCATAATCAGACAATGCAATACATATGATTTTGTGTGCCCATTACATCACTACAGCATTTAGCAAAACATGTTAGATGTTATCACTATTAGAATTATAAGACTGAGCCTACATAAATTGAGGTTTCAACTAACCAGAATAGTACTGACCATTTTTGAGTTCTAGGACAAGCTAACTATAAAACAGCAAACTGTGTAGTTTAGACTCTGTTGCCACTATTTTTAAATTCAAGTTTCTTTTGTTTTCAAATATAAAGCCATAGTTCTCTAGCACCAAATAAAAATAACGTTCCAAGGCATTTTGATTAGTTGAGATTTTACTTAAAATTCTTCAAAGTTCTCCCTAAAGAGAGGGATAAATTTTTAAACTTAATCTTCTTTCTCTCTCCTTTTGTTTGTTTGCCTTTCTTTCTTCTTTCTTTTCTTTTCTTCTTTCTTTCCTGTATTTTCTTTCTCTTGCTTTCTCAATATCTTTATCTCTCTCCCTCCCTCCTTCTCTTCCTTCTTCCCTTCCTTCCTTCTTTCCTTCCTTTCCTTCCTTTCATTATTTCTTTTCTTCCCTCTCTCTTCCCTCCTTCCTTTCATTGTGCTAAGGTTTGGATTCAGGGACTCCTGCTTTCTTGGAAAGCATTCTTCCGCTAGAGCCATGCCCTGAGCTCTTTTTGCTTTGGTTAATTTTCAGGTAGGGCTCGTCCTTTTTGCTTAGTGCCAGCCTTGAACCTAAAACAGGTTCTGCCTAGCGGGGATTAAGGAAGTTCAGTTGTTGAGAAAGTATTCCTAACTCTTTTGCACAGGCTGGCCTGCAATCATGATCATCCCATTTCTAACTCTGTTGGAACTGTAGACATGCCAGGCCCTAGAACTTAGTTTTCAAGTGATCAATTACACTGCAAGTGAAATTTGAAATTAATATATATCTTATTAAAGGAGCAAAAAGCAGGTAAGTTTTCTGCATAAACTTTATAACCACTGGGAGGGGACAAATGTTTTAAAATAATTAGTAGAACTTTAAAATCAGGGCTATGCCTAACTAAATGATCAGGATAAAAGTTCCATGGCGATCTTTTAATCCTATTTCCTGAGTGAGAAGCAGGAAATATTTCTCTTTTCTTTCTATTTCTCACTACTTTGTTCGAGATAAATCCTTGATAAAATTTACACAAAAAACGTCTGCCTTTATTAATGCATAAAAGACCCTGCAGATAATATAAAATGTTATGTTAAGTAGTAATCGCTAAGATATACTTGAGTATACCTTAGGTATACTCCACACTGAGAAACTGATAAGGATAAACAATCTGGTTTCCTCATCATATAACTGCAAGGAGGAACAAATAGAAAGATAAAATTTAAAGTTTATTTTATTTTATTTTTATTTTTTATTTTTTTGTCGGTTGTGGGGGCTGAACTCTGGGCCTGGGCACTGTCCCTCAGCTCTTCAGCTCAAGGCTAGCACCCTACCACTTGAGCCACAGCACCACTTCTGGTTTTTTCTGCATATGTGGTGCTGAGGAATCGAACCCAGGGCCTCATGTATGCGAGGGCAAACTTAAACTGTAGTGATACATCTATGGGATTAAACTATAGACATCAGTACAGAAATGTTCCCATAAAAGTTGGGACCATGTTTTCCAGTATAACAAGAAGAGGCCAGGCTTAGGACATAGTCACAAAGGCTCTATGGCTTGAACCAGGAGGTGGTAATGTGTTAGTAGTTCATCAACTCATCCATTGTTTTATGTGCACTTTTGTGTTCAGGTTATATTTCATAATTTAAATGTTGATTTTTCACAAATTAAAATTCTATGATATCTGGGTATGGTGGCGTGTACCTTTAGTCCCAGCACTCCACAGGCTAAGGTACAGGATGATGAGTTCAAGGTTACATAAAAAGGCCTGTGTCAACAAGGAAAAAAGGAAGAAAAAACAATCTCTAAAAACAAGCAGATCCATTTAATGGATTGGTTTCTAACTACTGGTTTAAATATAACATAATGATTTTGATAATAATTTGCCTCTCTTCAAGGCATGTATATATGACCATGTTTGTGATAGCAAACAGACACAAAAAATATTCTTACAGAGTTTAGCTTTGTATTCATGCATAGCTTCATTTACCTCTGTTCCAAGAAAACCATCAACTAAAAACAAGCCTGAGGCTGGGAAGGTATCTCAGTGGTAGAGTGCTTGCCTTGCAGACGTAAGGCCCTGGGTTCGATTCCTCAGCACCGCAGAAGCAGAAAAAGCCAGAAGTGGCACTGTGGCTCCAGTGGTAGAACACTAGCCTTGAGCTGAAGAGCTGAGGGACAGCAACCAGGCCCAGAGTTCAGGCCCCACAACATAATTAATTAATTAAAAACAAGCCAATAAAAGAAAGGCATTAGATGCTGTGTTCTCTTAAAATTCACATGTTGAAGTCTTATCCCTCATTTGAAGACATGATCTTTCAAGAGGTAATAATAGCAAAACAAGGTCATTGGGGTGGGCCCAATACAATCTGACTGTGTTCTAAGAAGAGAAAACTAAGGTAGAAATACGTACAGTGGGAAGGCAAGCTGGGACCCAGGAGAAAAGCATAGACAGAGAGACCTCACAAGATAGCAGTCCTATAGACACCTGAATCTCAGGATTCAGTCTCCAGAAGTGTGAGAGAATGTTTTCCTCTTGTCTATTGCTGCCACAGCAAACTAATACAGAAGCTAAAGGAAAGATGAAAAGATAAGTCACCTCACCTAACTCATAATGAATAGTAAAAAAGAAAATCTTAAGAGAAATGTATCCAATTGTAAATAAAAGGAACTATCCTGAAGAACCAAGCACAGGGAGCAGACTGGAGGGCCTAGCAGAAAAAAAAAATGAGTTACTGACTTTAGATTGGTAGGTGAGATTCAGTCATTCCAATGTGGCTCCTGGGGGCTGGGGATAGGGAGGAGGAGGGACCCCAGGGAGGAATTTGGAGTGAGAGTTTTAAATGAACGGGGAAAAAAATGGAGGTGATACTCTAAAGAAGAGATCCTTTCAGTTATATAAATCCTATAAAACACAAGTCCAGTAATTCCTGTACTACTTGATTAATTTTTTTCCTAGTAATTAATAATGAAGGTTTTTTTAAAAAAAGTGAGTGATCATCTTCCTTGTTAAATTATAGAATAATTAAAGAACCTCTAATCTGTGCATTATAAGTATCAATGAAAATTAGTATCATGATCAGCAGTATTTAAAAGATTTTCAAAAATTTTAAATTTCTTTTCTTTTCTTTTCTTTTTTTTTTTGGGTCCAGTCATGGGGCCTGAACTCTGGGCCTGGGCGCTGTCCCTCAGCTCTTCAGCTCAAGGCTGGCACTCTACCACTTGAGCCACAGCACCACTTCTGGCTTTTTTCTTTTTGCTTATGTGGTGCTGAGGAATCGAACCTAGGGCCTCAGGCATGCAGGGCAAGCACTCTACCACTGAGCCACCTTCCCAGCCCCAAAATTTCTTTTTTTTATTGTGAAAATACTGTACAGAGGGGTTACAATTACATGGGCAAGGCAATGAGTGCATTTCTTATCAAGCATTGTTGCCTCCTCCTTTGTTTCCCCTTCCCATCCCTTCCCATCCTCCTACCCCTGCGCCAAAGTTGTAAAGTTCATTTTCAACATAACATCTTGTAATTGGGTGGAATAGGTGTAATGGGTCCACCTGTATCCCTATTTAAACAATTTGTTTTTTCCCTTCCCCTCCACAAATTATACCAACATCAAATACAGTGAAAACAGGGGTTATACCGTGGGGGAGGGACATACAAAGCAACAAAGAAATATCTTAATATGTTAGACTTTTAAATTTCTTTTTAAAACTTACTTTGATTTCCACAGTCTTGCCTCCATGTTCAATGTGTCTCTCTATGTAATCAGAGGACAGCAAATCACTGCAACAATGAAAAGAAATGATGGTTAAAGAGATGTTCAATGGGAAAGTACCTACCTGTTTAGGATGCTCTAGGCCAAGCTAGACACTTGGCTCTGCAAAGTAATTAATAATAATAATATACTGAAGATGAAAAACATTTGAAAATTGAGATCAAGTTTATACATATGTGATTTAATAATTCTTTAGCCCTGATTGTAAAATCAAGTGCCATATCCCTTAAAAGATGAGGTATTGAATTGACAACATACCACCTGCTATTCTGAGTCTTAACACAGTTGATTCTGCCAATTCGGCTATCAGTGCTAAGAAAATACTATTAACATACTATTATTTTCAAGACATGTTATTTTCATTTTTATTTTACTTTTTACCAAAACATTTACCATCTCATTATGTGTTCTTTTAATGCTTTTTAATTGTAAAAATACTGTACAGAGGGGTTACACTTACATGAGTAAGGTAATGAGTACATTTCCTAACAAGCATTATTACCTCCTCCTTTGTTTTTCCCCTACTATCCCTTCCCTCCCACCTCCCCAATTCCTCCCTTCCCTCCCCCCCTCGTCACTCCCTCCCCATGGAAGTTGTAAAGTTCAGTTTCAACATAGTGTCATGTACATCTCATTGTTACAATGGGTCAACCTGGATCCTTATTTAAGCATTTTGTTATTTCCTTTCCCCTCCTCAAACTAGAAAAATGTATATACAAGATGCAGGGCACCAGAATCAAATACAGTGAAAACAGGGGTTATACCGTGTGGGAAGAACATACCAAAGAAACAAAAAAACACATAGTATATTACAAATATGTCTTTATCTAACAAAACACTACTTTCCTTAACAAATTTTTTCAAAGGGGGGAAGTTAAATGAAAAAGAAGGTAATCTCAACACTTAAAAATAATCCTATAAATAGAATAGCATTAGCAATGTATAGTTTATTTATACCTTGTTAATGAAATTTTGTTCATAATTTAATGCTTAAAAAAACTGAAGACTTAAGCCAGGTGCTGGTGGCTCACACCTGTAATCGTAGCTACTCAGGAGGCTGAGATTTAAGGATCTTGGTTCAAAGCCAGCCTGGGCACAAAAGTCCTTGAGACTCTTATCTCCAGTAAACCACTCAGAAAACCAGAAGTGGCACTGTGGCTCAAGTGGTAGAGTGCTAACCTTAAGCAGAAGAGCTGAGGAACAGAGCCCAGGCCCAGAGTTCAAGCCCCACTGTAGATCCTTAGCAACACAATCACCATTTTGTGCATAAAAACTCCAATTTGAGACAAGGCCTATTTCCAGCATATGAGCTTAGGTCCCCAGAATGACCACAGACGTCCCACTTGCACCCTACCCTATAAGTTCCCCTAGCAACAGCCAATGAGCCAAAAGGTGGAAAGTCTCCCCTGAGACCCCAAGTGTTGCATTGCAACATATTTTTTTGTGGTTCAGCTTGCTTCCCTATCTGAGACTGTTACAAGACTGTTACAAAACGCTGACTAAATGTCTGCTAACATTGGTAAAGAAAAACCAATTGTACTAACCAATAAGAATGTGACAAAACTTAGTAACCCTTAGCTACTCAATTGTTAGCCAATCATGTAACTGTTAAGTTGGAAATCCCCTCCTCCCTGCTTTACTTGTGATAAAAAAAAAAAAAAAAAACGCTGTCACCCCTTAAGTTGGGGCTCTCAACTCTGACCTGCTGCATTGGTGACGGTTGCAATAAACGACTCTCGTGTGCTTGCATCGGAATCGGTTCCTTGGTGGTCTTTGGGGGTCCCTATCTGGGCACAACACCACAACCGCCAAAAAGAAGAAAAAAAATTAAAGACAATGGAAGTTGTGTCTTGAGGAATTCCATTAAATGGGGATTTTTTCACACATGTGGGATTAAAAAGAATAGTTAAAATTATATGGACATTTAAAATTTACAAGTGTTGTTTAGAGGAGGCTTAAAGATGGAATTACTTTAAAATGTGTTAATAGTTGTTCTTCCAGAACAAGTATAATGTAGACGTGTAGTGAATATTCAGTTCTGCTACATGAGTAAATTGGAGGTTTGTATCCATGTAAAATATAGGCAAACACTCTGAGACATTTTAAGTATAGGTAAGTAATTAGTAAGCGGTATCATGTTAGATGTGGGCAGAATTCACCAGATATTCTAACTTTTTAAGTAAGAATGTCATATATATGCTATTGTTCATTGATAGAAAGACTTGATAATTAAGAGATAACTTATTAAATGTTTATGATATACTAAATATATTGAAACCATTAAGTATCCATGGCATCTAAACATAGATAAGCAATTTATTATATATCCATGACATCTAAATATAGATCAGCAATTAATATTCTATCACACACTGGTGCTACCCAACACTGCCTATTGACATTTTAGGCCAGCAGAATTCTTTCTCTTGGGAGGCTATCTTTCACAAATGAGCACATTTATTGCACTATCTCTGACTTCTACCCACTAGATGCCATTATATCTCCTACACACACGAATCATGACAATTAAAAATGTCTCCAAATGTTGCTAAAGGCACACTGGTTGGAACAACTGCTGATAATTTATTCCTGCTCTATGTGTTCTTTGTCCAAGAAGCACACATAGAACACATGAGTGGGTGTGTGAGGCTAATTGGCAAGCTATAGCTAGTGACCAGGCTTATTTTTCTTGTGTCTTTCAAATAAGGCAAAAGTGAGTATAAGTAGTTCAGGATACTTACCATCTATGGAGCTTGCTCAAATCTCAGTTTGAAGCCAAGAGAGCAACAGGATATATGAAGATTGTATATCCATATGCCCCCCAGACTAGACTAGCTTGCCATGGTCTGTCTCTCTCCTATTCTACACATGCAACTGAAGATTTTGTGCTTGCTATGTGTTTCAGTACTGGGGCATCTTAGTTTGCTTAGCTTTGGTGGAGGGAGGGGCTCAAGGCTGACACTCTACCGCCTGAGCCACACCTCTACTTCTAGCTTTTTGCTAGTTAGTTGGAGACAAGAGTCTCTTGGATTTGTCGGCCCTGGCTGGCTTCAAACCTCACAATCAATTACCACTTTTGTCTAAAGAAGCTCTTTACTTTGTAGTTTCATTATTTTGTTGGAAGCTATTGAAAAAAATTGAAATAGGTGGCATACAAAGAAAGAAAGAAAGACAAAGAAAGAAAGAAAGAAGAAAGAGAAAGAGAGAAAGAAGAGAGAGAAAGAAGAAAGAGAGAGAGAAAGAAAGGAAGAAAGAAAGAAAGAAAGAAAGAAAGAAAGAAAGAAAGAAAGAAAGAAAGAAAGAAAGAAAGAAAGAAAGAAAGAAAGAAAGAAAGAAAGAAAGGAAGGAAGGAAGGAAGGAAGGAAAGAGGGAGGGAGGGAGGGAGGAAGAAAGAAGAGAGAGAGGGAGAGAGGGGAAGGAAAGAAGAGGAGGAAGAAGAGGAGGAGAGGAGGAGGAAGTGGAGAAGGGAGGGAGAAAGAGGAAAAGTGGGAGGGGAAAAAGAGAAAGAAAAAGAGAGGAGGAGGAGGAGGGAAAGGAGAATAAGAGGAGGAGGAGGAGGTTACACCACTACTGGCTGACTGTTCAACAGATTTTTTTCTTCACTATCATCCTTTCCTTTGGTATTAACTCTCTTTGTGAAGTCATGATGTTCAAGGGAAGCCAGGGAGCAGAACCTTGATTGTTCAGAGACAAATGTCCTCATCAAAGAATTGGTTTAGGCATGGTGCTGTAAAGACTGTAATATTCTGGCAAAAGAGAATTGAAAGGATGGATGCTAGGTGCTTTCTGCGGGGGGGCGGGGGGGGGGGTGGAGGGGGGAAGGCTTAAATTATTTTAATCTTCATGAGATGTTTAGAATTACTATGCTGTATTTGAGCAATAAGACCAGCCAGTGAAGAGACAGGCCAGCCCTGATACTGACTAATGGCAGAGCAAGAAGCTGAAAATAGGTTCCATTGTCTAGCCCCAAACAGAAGAGGTACTATCAAGAGTTTTGCAAAAGCCTCGCTACCTGTCTGACAAACTGCACTTCTTAGAACTGAGAGGGAAACACTACCACACATAGGCAATGTTCATTAACATAGCCAGTCAGGTTCCTAAACTACTGAATTGAGAACAAAAGCAAAACCAAAACATTCACCTCATGAAGAAAAGACAAAGGCAGAAAATAAGCTGGCAGACATGCGACAGAAAATGAGTTGTATCAGTTGCAACCATCAGAGTGAATGCTTCAAATCTTTGCTGTTCTAGCCCATAAATCATCCAGAACAGTCTATCTGTCTGTGGGCTTGATCCCCATCACTAACCCCTATTATCAAGCTAGCATGAATGAAATCAAAAGCACGTAAGTAAAAAATGTGGAGAAATAGCAGTTAGCAATAGTAATGACAAGAATCATTTCTTAAAATCAATTTAAAGTCTTCCAGGTTTTCAAATTTTAAGGGAACATTTTCCTTTGAATTATAAAAATGTAGGCATTAAGACAGTATGAGTCACCACAGGAATGTAATTACAGCAAAGAATAACTCAGCTCAGGAATTATGTAGCTTTTTCAACCAAGCCACTACATTTACAGGGATTACTAGAAAAGGCCCCTTGTAATTAAGCCAAAAACAGCCCAGGCAATTTGGTTTTGTTTGTTTGCAATGTAGTGAAAGTATGCTAAGTATTGTTATTTTAATTATTAGGCTGAAAACCCTCCTATTTAAAATGCCACTGTTTCTTCTATTAAAATCCTCAATATCATCAAATTAAAGCCTAAGTAACTATTCTGGAAGCCACCTGAAGCAATCAAAACTACTAATGTCCTTCTCTTTAGAACATCATTATTTATTGTTAAGGAAGTCTCTATTTAAGTCATTTTAAGCTTCGGAAAATAGAGGATTCCTTAGTATAGAGAAAATCGTACTGTAAATGGAGAAGGTAAAATTTACCGTGTACTAAGTTACTTAATACCAATGTGTGAAAATGCTTTGTGATCTTCTTTGTGAATTTAAAGTACAAATAA